ATATCCCTCTCCAAAAAGTGTTTTAAAGTTGTTGTGTTAGTTTACAGGTAGAACATTGTTTGTATGCACAACAATACAGTCATACAGTACATTTTGTCTGTGGATGGTTAAAGTTGAAACCAAGTTTCATGTGCATGTGTTACAAACTCTCTTTTGCATGTTTGCCTGGTTATAGCATGGCTGATTACCTTATCAGTGGGGGAACTGGATACGTTCCAGAGGATGGGCTCACTGCCCAGCAGCTCTTTGCCATCGGTGATGGTCTCACATACAAGTAAGTCGAGGATGCAAAAACGATGCAAAAACCTTTTTTAGATGCCCTGCCTTGTAATCAGACACTTAGACTGATATGGACAGCACAGTGTCAGCGCAGGTCCTATCATGTGTAGCTTCACCCTGGCACACACACACACATGCACTCTAGGTAGGCATCTTTCTGGACATCTGTCATGAAATGGCTCTCAACTCCATGGCAACCCTCTGTGCATCTCCATAGCAACGGGGAGCTCAAGTGCTCAGTCCCAGCACATGCAGCCCATGCTTATGGGACAATGCAAAACCAGAGTGCATGTGTGGTCCTTTTTGTCCCTGTTTTCTTTCTTATTCCTGATCCAGCTTGCTTAACATAGGCTTTAGTATCATTTATGAACATTGGTTCTTTTTATACAGTATGTTTTGTATCAATGCATTAAATGAGCTTGTGTTTGTGTGTGAATATGAACATGTTTAGGCTTTCCCAGCCTTATGAAAACTTGTTAGCAGAGCAGTGGTCTCTGCGCTTATTTTTGTCATGCTGGCTGGAGTGTTTAATCTGGTCTAATGGAGGTTTTATGAGCATTAGGCCACATGGGGCAGGACACTGAACTGTGCCTTCTCACCCATCCTCCTGAGACAGACAAATCCGGTCCCAATTTTCCTGTATCAAAACATTATCATGCTTTAAAGTGAGGGATGCCATTTAAAACTTTCTACTAGAGACAATAACAGTGCTTTTAACTGAAGTCACATGTGTGCGTGTGACATTGGTGACACGGTTAAGAACATTAACAGGATGTCTCAGTACACCACATGTTAAGTAGATTATATGTCTCCTCTTGACAGGACCAGAGGCATACTGTACGAGTGCAAGTGAATCATTTGTGGCTACTTAAAGTATTTGTGCTACAGGCAAACACACATATTCATTTACTCATACACTGGATCACAGTAATTAGTCAACTTACACTACTGTTCAAAAGTCTGAGGCCGGTAATATATTTTAATGTTTTTGAAAGACATCTTTTATGCTCACCAAGGCTGCATTTATTTAATCAAAAATGCAGTAAAAACAGAAATATTATTACAATTTAAAGTAACTGTATTCTGTTGTAATATATTTTAAATTGTAATTTATTCCTGTGTTGCAAACCTAAATTTTCAGCAGTTTTCAGTGTCAAATGATCCTAATAATTATCAATGTTGACAACAGTTGTGCTGCTTAATATTTTTGTGGAAACATGATACATTTTTTTCAGGATTCTTTGATGAATAGAAAATTCAAAAGAACAGCATTCATCTGAAATAAAAAATCTTTTGTAACATTATAAATGTCTTTACTGTCACTTTTGATCAGTGACCTTGCTGAAGTTAATTTCTTTAAAAAATAAAAATAAATCGTACTCACCCTAAACTTTCAGATGGTCGTGTTCAGCAGTCATATACATTGCTGTCATGTTTGCATAAACTAGCCATAATAATACCCACAATTCTGGATCAACCTTGGTTTGTTTTATGTTTGTTTTAGAGTGTTTGTGACACAGATTTGAGAGTGTGTTTACGCATTTTGTAATTCTGATAATGTTCTGATTCATAAATTGCTGATCTAAAGGTCATTGTTGCCTAACTCTGCCATCTGTCCTTCCTCATTCAGTGATTTCCTGATACTGCCTGGCTTCATTGACTTAACATCCGATGAAGTGGTAAGTACCAACATTTATCAGAGGTTATCAACAAATGGGTGGAACAGGCCTCAAAAGCTTTTGTATTAGCAAACAATTTAGTGCACAGGATAATTTTTGATAACATGAGTCAACTCAGATGCTAAGTTGATGGAAAAGGAGCTCTTTAACTATCAGTGAGGTGAAAGATCTGCAGAGGACAGTGTTTGTGTGGATGAGAGGTTAACATGGCTGTGTTAGCGTCCACACAGTCCCTGGTGTGCTGGGCATGTTGTCACAAGCATTGAAGCTCAGGTGTGTGTGTGAGAGAGAGAGACAGAGAAAGAGATCAGGCCGACACAAATATCAGTCCCCCTGGAACCACAACTTTAAACACATTTTTAATAAAAAATTTAGTGAATTTTACTATCCTGGGATAGATTATAAACCAATGATTTAGCAAAACAGGGAATCAGTTACACTTAAAGGTGGGGTAAGCGATTTCTGGTAGCCAATGTTGACATTTGAAATCACCAAAACAAACACGCCCCTACCCCAAAAGGGTCTCGCCACTGTTTTGATAGCTCCGCCCCACACATACGTACGCTACCCAGGCATTGATTGATTGATTGGCTACAAGTTTGTTTTGATACTCGGCCCGAATCAGTTTTCTAAAGTGTTTTTGAAAAAATGCTTACCCCACCTTTAATAAGTAGTATTTCAACTTATTTTGTTGAAAAACTCAAAAATGTTTGATTTAGGATAGTCTATGAGTTTGTTTAAAATGTTGTTTGTTTTTTTTCCAGTTGGGCAGGTTAGCTTCCTGCTGATGTAAATGCATGTACACAACACTGTGTTTTCTTTGAGCACTTCTGAGATTACGCTGAGCTGCGGTTAATGAAGGGACACAGGTGTTATAGAGGGAGAAGAAAAATAAGACACGTCTATAGTGCTTTTGTCATTTTTTTTTTTTTTTACATATTTCTATGTAGCTTTATTTAATAATTTCATTTTTTATTTCAGTTTTAGTAATTTTAGTACTTCAAATTATTTAATTTCATTTAGTTGCTTTGGATTGAAAGTAGGGATGCTCATACAGTATTGACCGTTTAACCGTTAACTGAAAGTAAGAATTTTAACAACAGCTTGTAACTCTCCAAAGAGAAAGGAAAACTTGAAATCGCATCATATGACCCCTGTAAATTCTGAATGGGTTATAGTCAAGAAAGCGCGCAAAGAGCGTTCCCCCTTATAATCATTAAAAAGCTGTCACTCAACTCAGTTTTTCACAATCTCATAAAGTTCCGTTATATTCAGTGAAGCAATACACTACTGCACAACTAAATCTCTTATTTACATCGTGTACAGTATGTGGAAAATAATGTGTTTTTTAACTTTAAACTGCATAAACACATTTCATTACACCAAATACACCAAATAATGTTCTTTTTAGCAGCATCATATGACCCCTTTAATACTATCAGTTAAACGGTTTAAAAGTTATTTTTTTAAAGTTTGCTGTTAAATAAAAATATTCTAAACATATTTGTTAACTCACAGGGGCGTGTTGATACGTGCAATCACACGTGCCTACAGACATGTTTCGCTGCGCAAGCACCTGCTCCACTTTCACTTAACTGAAGTAATAAAGGCAGCACAATGGCAAAAGGCAATATTGGATAAATGGTTATCAGAGAGTGAATCCGTGAGTGAATGTATTTAAAGGGGTCATATGATGTTGCTAAAAAGAACATTATTTTGTGTATTTGGTGTAATGAAATGTGTTTATGCGGTTTAA